AGGCATTAGTTCAGGGAGGAAATGTATTCTCTCATTTCTTTTCTAATTATATATATTATCATGTCCCTTACCTCTTCTGTCGTAATTGGACATAGAGCACTAGTTTAATTCTTAGTTTAATAATTGAAATTATTACCCATTTACACATTTCCTAAGAGCCATAAATCAAAAAAGACAGAGTTTAAAGGCTAGGTTGCTTTGTAAAGTGTCTTCAAATGAATTGTTACCTATGAGAATAACCCCAATCAAGAGGAAAATTGCTACTACACGGTCATTTGGCTTGTGCTTGGCTAAATGGAAGCAGCACAAAGGCTAGTTATTAAAGCTCCTTTTTCCTTTTTAAATGATGCTCATCCCAGTGGACTAGTTCAGATTTGTGTGTGTGTGTGTGTGTGTCTCTCTGCTCCCAGTCCTGCTATGACTCGTCCACACCTCTGGGGACAACGAGCTCAAGGGCACGCTAAGATGAGGGGTCTATATCTAACTAAAATAGACACACGTGTACTAACTCAGCAACACACTCGCAGGTAATTTAGCTTCATTAATATGAATGAACCCCAACTGTGTCAGAGGGCCCTGAGGTCGTGATGATTGTATTCTTGAAGGATCCAGGATAAAACTGTTACTGAGCTCAGCTACATCCTTGCCTTAGGAGATGCTCAATTAATATGAAGTCTAGTAAAGTCTGAGATTGATCCTTTCATCTTGTACACATACACTGTGAGTGGAGACAGTGTGAAAACACCCCTTTGGCCTCCAGGGTGTGTGATTTAAAAACTGTGCCTCTAAATGTTGTTAGAGGTCCACGTTAAGACCTGCTTATGGCTGGGTGATATGGCTGACATCAATTTCACAATGTTAATAAAAACGATTTTTCCCGATACCAGTTTGTAACATGCAAGCGAAATCTCTAAATCTCAAAATGTATTTATTCTCAAATTTTATTGATGCCTCTTTACTCCAGTTTTAGTTAGTAAATATATACATATATAATGCTATAAAGTAAGATCAACCAGGCACATGGACATGTTAATAGATTACATTTATCAATATTTGGCGTGACCACCCTTTGCCTTCAAAACAGCATAAATTCTTCTAAGTACACTTGCCCATCGTTTTCTGAAGCAAATCGGCAGTGTGATATAAAATTACAGAAGATGTTGGTCTCATCACCCACCCTCTTTACAACACTGTCTGAAAGCAGTACATTTAACGTTTTACCAGTGTGGAACAAGAAGAATAGCCTCTCACAAGTCTGGAGGATGAGCAGCAGTTTCACATTATCTGTGTCTGACTTTGGTCTGACTGTAGTCAATGAATTTGTCTCTGCTGCGGCCAACTTACTTATAATGGCTTCAACATAAAGTAACTTTTTATATACCCCATTAGTGTGATGCTGCATACAGTTTACAGTATCAATTAAGTCCTATCTGGCTATTGCTTAGCAACACAATCTCTATCTCTGCTATCTGCAGTCTCTACGTTTTATGGACGCACACACATTCGTTCCATTTTTTGTATATGATTAGCATAATGACTGTAATTAATCAGAGGCTCAGTGTGTCTGTTGGGGGTATGGAGGGTTGGGGGTGTTGTGAGGTGGCGGCGTTCGTTTGAGAGTGCTTTTTAGTGCTCTGCTCTATCTTTAATGACCCTAGCAGGAGACTGGAGGAGAGCGCACTTGTGAACAATGTGAACCATCCCTCACGTCTTCCTGGAGCCTAATGATAATGGTACTGCTGTCCTTGGGCTACACATACATCCCAAATGTCCATTAGGGAGAGCAAGCAGGGAATAAAGAGAAAACAGAGAGGGAGGTAAAGTCTGGGCTCCATATATAGCACCATGGTTAATCTGTAGACAATGTGTTGGAAGATCCAGACCCAGGTGCAGCTGTTGTGAGCCAGAGAGAAAAGGTGTGACAGAGGAAAACATAGATCTTGTATGCTGAGATATCTTCCATTCTTTAATTCATAAGCTCAGTGCACAAACATTGCAGCTTTGGATTTCATGATCATCAAAAAAAAGATTAAGACTGCAATGCTTTTGGCGAAATGATTTGACTTCAGCTCCTGCCATGATATTTGTTGCTGCATGATCCCCAAGGCACTGATGTTTTATCTGTGCAACTTGTTGAAGCTGTCAAGGGTGACTCATCCGTCAGACAGGGATATCTCCTGCTTTGTCTGTGTGTGTGTGTGTATTTGTTGGTGTTTTTGTGTATGACCTTGAGCAACATTCAAGGCTGATTGAGCTGAGTTTGAGAAGAAGCAGCGACAAGCCGACAGAGTAAATGCAGTGATACCAGCCTGGTTTAGTGCAGTAGGGCTCTTGGCAGGTAGAAGGATCTGTCAATCATGACAAGAGTCACATGCGGTGTGTACAGATGAGTCTCACTAGTTTGCTAATGCATTTGAGGGGGATTTAATTTAAATTTAAAAAGTGAACAAAGTGTTAAGAATACTATCCTTACATTGACTAGTCATTTTCTTGCATAATCAATGTCTCATTTGTCCCAAGGCCCTAAAATCAGCCTCTCTGCTTGTCTTTATCTATGTCTCTTTGAGGGCGTCAGTGATACTTTCAATAAAAAAGAATCTCTAGACTTAAGTTTTGATTAATTGATTGATCAATTAATACCTCAAGTTACCATAACCTAAAGTAATGCTTTGTCTGAGTCAAAAACAATATTAAACAAAGCAACCTCTCACATTTGAGAAGCCATAACCAGAACATTTTTAGATTTTTCCTTTACAACTTGATAATTAATTATTTTATATTCATTTCTGAATCTGGTATTTATTTCAGCCTTGGCCATTTGTGAATAATTCTTCTACTTGCTGTTTCATCTAAATTTACAATTTGATGAATGTATAGATTTGTCTACTTAATAGTAGATAAAAGTGCTTACTTACACTAACAAATTATAATAGATTTTTACATTGATTAACTCAAATATCAAGCAAGATTATTATGTTTTTGACATAAAGATGGAAAACAGGTCAATTAAGGACATTTTTAACATAATGTATGACCATTTTTAAGCATGTTTCACCCCACAATTTGTTTTATTATCTAGCTACGGGAGAAAAAAATTCAATAGTTTCATTTGTAAAATAACTTTTCATAGACATGTATTCAGAATTATTTTATATGCTACTAACTAGAGGTTTTCAGCAATGGACTCTGGCTTTGACGAGAGCAATATAGTGACTGTTTCTGGTTAAACAAAAAGGATATTACTCATTAAAAAAGGTCTATCTCTGTATGGGTCCTTTCCATAATGTTGTCTGACACTTGTAATAACAATCTGATCCTGTCAGTGGCAAAAACAAGCACTTTAGTGGATATGCTTTGACGGGGCGCAATTGCACCGCTTACGAGGAGTACATTGCAGAGCTGATTTGCTGCTACTGAAGCGCACTTGCTCAGTGCTAGACCAATTTTAAAAAGATTTTGTCCCAATTAGTCACACAGACACAAAAACATTGGAAAAGGTTGAGAAATACCGAAGTTACCCTTTAAGGACTGCACTGCTATATGCTTGTCCCTTTTACCTCAGGTGGTATCTTGGACTCTCTTCCTCTGTGCCTTCCCTTCAGCTCTTCTACATTTTGAAAACCTCTGTTACAGTATTATTACATTTATTCATCTTCAGTGATTACATTGAACTTCATTACAGCTCTTTTAACAAAATACATAATGTTTTTCTGTGTTGCATAAAAACAGTCAGGCCCAGTATTAAGTAAGGTCAGAACAGAGTGTAGAGACTATACAGTCTGAATATGTTTACTTCTATTATGCTTTTGTGTTTCATAGACTGACTTTGTGTCTTTGCATAATGATGAAGGCCAATGTAGCCATGTCCTTTATAGGAGTATAAAGGGCTTTGATATCACTGTGAATGGCTGCTGTATATCATTTCTAAAACATCAAAAAGTTTAAGGTTGAATATTTTGCTCAGTGCTGAAATCACCATTGCTAACCCTGTTTTTATGAGGGTTGTTTGGTGCCATGATTTAATGTAGGTCATGTTTTGTTTTTTGTACTGTATAAGGGTGTTGTTGATGCAGTTAGAGAAATATATTGTGGGTTTAATGTATATTATGCTATGTGCGTTATGTTACAGTAGTAGAAAATCAGTAGTTAAAACATAACATAAAATAAAAAGTATGCCTCTTTTTGTCTATAGGGCACTTTCTTAAAACAGTGACTCTGAATCTGCGGGGTTTCCCTGCAAAGATTCAGTCTTCAGAAAAGTTTGCCACATGAAATACATTTCTCTAAGATGAAAAATCTGCCAGGTTACCCAAGGGGTGAAATTTAGAAGACAGACAGAAAGAAGTATGTCTGATGTGTCCGTGTCGGAGAAGTGATTTAGGGGAATCAGCCCTCCAGCATTTGTCAGTGACGCTCTTCCTCTAATCACACCTTGCACTTTTTTTTCTCAAAAGAAAATCCTCTAATTAGGATATTGAAGGTTGCTCTACATGCTTCATGTTAGTCTAAAAAACATGTAACTCAGTGATGGTGAGTTTGGGGTTTGATTTTGGGTTTAATGTAGTATGTGAAAAATGTGTGGTGCTCAAGCTATGAAATTCAAGTTCAGATTGTTTTGACCTGAGACTGTGATTACAGGGAGTACAAACTATACATACAATACAAAAATGTACAGCTGCAATTAACACATTTAATTTTTGATTAATCTTTCATTAAAGTAAAAACGGATTAATTACTCTGTAACATGTAAGAAAATAGTAAAAAAAAAAAGCCCATCACAAGTTCCCACTAAATTTAGTGACAGTTAAACAGCTTGGAACCTATTAAAGCCTCATTAAAGCACATATAAATATCCAGTAATATTTTCCCAAAAGAAAAAACAGTGCAGGAGAATATGTTTTGTTTTAAAAACACAGATTTTTACCGCTATATTTTACACAGAATTTCATTGTAGCCTCTACTGTATCACATCATGACAGTGATTTTCCTTTTGTTTCCAGATATCAACATGGCAGGAGAGCCAAAACCATACAGGCCTAAGATGGGTTCCAAGAGGCCTCTCTCATCCCTCTACAGGTCTGTTAGAAATGTGTTTTATTTTACTGTTATCATTCGCATATTGCTTGGCTGACCTACTTTTCTTGCCGCACTTACATTCTGCTGTCTGTAAAATATGTGCTCACGATCCTCATTGGCAGGCTGGGTACTTCTGGAGAACAGTCATTTCCCTGCCATCAGTGCCCCTTTTCTGATTGTTGCTATTACATATTCTCGACATTTTAAAAGTCCTGTTGGAAGCAAAGAAAAACAAATGCACTATATGGCTAACATCCTAACAGCCTAAGAAAAACAAAACTTGGGAAATTTGCTTATTCACTTTCTTGCTGCAAGTTAGATGAGATGGTCGTAACCTGTGTTTGTACGCTAAATATGAAGCTGGAGATGGTTAGCTTAGCATAAAGACTGGAAACAGGATGAAACCTAGCTAGCCTACCAGCACTGTTAAAGCGCACCAACAAACATGTCACAATATATCTTGTTAGTTTAATCTGTACAAAATCAAAAAGTGTAAAAATTATGAGTTGTTGTTTTTATGGGCAGTTAAGTGCAATGGACAATGACCTCTGAAGTTACAGAGCCAGGTGAGCTTAGGGTGACCAGACATACCCATTTTCTGCAAAGTTAAAAATGGGGACAGTCTGGTGCTGTCCCCATTTTTAACTTTATGTTAAACATAGACTGTATAAGGTGTTAACAGACCTGAAATCAGATTTTACTTGGCCAGAAAGACTGGACAGCAGAGAATACAGGTGTGCTGAAAAGTTATCGTCCGCCGAAAACTGATTGCCTTCCACGGGAGCACGTGCAGCATGTTAAATTTCTTTCGCCCAGTCTCTTTACGTCTGCAGATGCTTTTATCTAGATCAAACAGACATAACTTGAAAACAAAAATCAATTCATGTCCGTGGTGACAGCAAAGTGATAGGCTTCTTTAACGTTTCTTTCAGCAGAATCATCACAATTGTGGCCAAATAAGTGGGTAACCAGGCCTGACATTTATGTAATTATAGGTAATAATAGAAGCCTGTTGTTGCCAATAGATTATGTGTTTGGTAGGCCTGTGTCTAATATCCTTGCTTATATATAGAAAACGGAATGTAGCCTATAATTAACATGACTTGCTGCTAAGTTATATATAAAATAAAAACATGACCTCTTTTGCAATTATCCTTATGACTCTACATTATTTAACACGCTGTGTATCAACCAATCCAGTCCTTTTTACCTGTTGAAATACCTTTTAAATGGCAAATACAACCCATGTAATGCAGTATTCCACTTACTAGAAAGTTATTGCAGCTTCTACTCTGCAGTAGGCCTAGATTCTGCCTCAAAATGACTTGATTTCAGTCAGAAGTTATATTTCACAGATTATAACTCACCTAGTACTTTTTACCTCTTAAAATACCTTTAAATAGCCAAAAGAACACATAAAATGCAGTATTCTACTTGCCAGAAAGTGATTGCAGCCTCTACTTATTGACTGAAAGGTTATATCTGCCCTGAAATGACTTGATTATATTCATGAGAGTTGATGTTTGACATATTATAACTCACCTAGTACTTTTTGCCTCTTAAAATACCTTTATGGGCAAAACAACACATAAAATGCAGTATTCCGCTTGCCAGAAAGTGATTGCAGCCTCTACCTATTGACTGAAAGGTAGTTTCTGCCTCAAAAAGACTTATATTTGACGGATTATAAAACCAAAATTGTCCCCCTTTTTCCTTTCATAGATAATAACCTTAGATTTTTTAATGACATACTGACCACCAAACCAAAAATATCCCCAGTTTTCTTTTCAGAAATCTGGTCACCTTAGGTTCGCTGATTCTCCCTGTTAATCTATACACTAAGCTAGCTAACTGGCTTCTAGCTGTAGCCTTTGATTCAATAATTAAACATTTTGGGAAATACATTTATTCACGTTTTGTCAGAGTTAGATGAGAAGATACCACTCTCATGTCTGTATGTTCAATATAAGGCTGCTACACCCAGTAGCCAGTTAGCTTGGCACAAAGAAAACACATAACAGATTATTCATTTTAGGTGTGTGTGTGTGTGTGTGTGTGTGTGTGTACCTGTGATAATTTAATTTCAAACTTGACTGGAAAAAAAATGCATTTTACACTGTAACAGAAAAATAAAAAGGGGTCTCTTTTATCTTCACAGTGGCTACGAGTTTGACTATGACTACTACAGAGATGATTTTTACAGCAGGTATGTAAAAAAGATTTGTAGTAGTAAATATCAGCACAGTCTGGCTTGCTTTGTCCTTTTTAATTTTCCGTATCGTTTATCCCCTGATATTTTGCCCTTCAGTGTACACCGTCCTTTATGCCCATTTTCGAGTCAGATACTTCCATAAAGATGAGTTTTGAGTAGAATAGCCCCATTTCCATCTGAGGCAAAGTAACTACATTATCATAGGCATAATGAATGTCATATTGGGGAGGTTTTTATTCCTCTCCGTTGGGCTTACTAATGATGCTTTTATCCGCACAGGCGAGTACTGAATGTCAGATAGTCCCCCGGCTGGTCGTTTGCGCTGGCAAGGCAGAAAATGTATCTTCCTTCTGACATTTTCATTGGTTTGTTTACTTGCTCTCCTTTGCAATATCCCTGAGAGTTGAATCCTTCAGTTTTGAGTCATTATTGCTATTTTGGCAATTTGATGTGTTGTAGGCAATGGGGAACAGGATTTGATTGAATGGCTGTGACATTGTTCAATATATACCACTATCGTTCAAACATCTTTTGCAGTTTGTCTATTAGGTGCTTTGAAAGTACCTCTTGTTGCTCAAGTAACAACATCTAGGGATCACAAGTGACTCCTAGGGGGGGGGGGACAACAACTTGCTGACACACTTTGCTGTTCAATGCCCATAATAGTTCCAGAAATACCTCTCCCTCCTTTTTAAAAATGTGTTTTTTTTCTGCTCTGTAATGCATTTGTAACCTTTCTATTGTTGCCAAGGTGCTGCAACTTTATTTTTCATGTCTCTTCAGACTCTTTGAGTACCACGGTCGTGTCGTGCCGCCAACCCGGGCTGTGATCCCCATCAAACGTTCGCGGCTAGTTGTTCCGTCCACACGCAGAGCCAAAACCTCCTTTCCAGTCAGGACCTGTTCTTCCTCTTCCTCCTCCTCCTCTACCTCCTCCCGAGCGCTCAATGTCAGCTCTTCCATCACAGCCCCTAAATGTATGTCCCTTTTTGTTCTTATAAGTCACTTTGTCCGGCTCTGTTTAAATGAAAATTTCAGTTTATTACAACTTGGGTCTTATTTGTGTAGTTATTATAGATTATTTTTGCCACCAAGTGCTTAATTGTTTGGTCTGTAAGATGTCTGAAAATAGTGAAAAATACCTATCATACTTTCCCTGAGTTCACATCCTCAAATGTGTTGTTGTATCCAACTAACAGTGCAACCCCTGAAAAATGTAGTTTACAATCATATAAGTCAAAGTGAAGCAGCAAATCTACACATTTAAGTAGCTTGAACAGCTTTCATTGTTTTTATTTATTTATTAATAACTTGGTTGATTCAATAGTTATCAAAATTATTACTGATTAATTTTCTGTTTATCAATTAATCGACTAATTCTTTCAGCTTTAGAAAGGTTGTAAATTATATTTAAATCACCTTATTTGCAGGTACTTATTTTTAACTTTTGCAGATCTCAGCAATGAAAGCTGCACTAGTAAATATTTTTATATTAACAAAGGTACAACTGAATATGTGTAATGTAAAAGGTATCACTCGTAGTAATGAACCCATGTAGTATAATCACCCGACTCTGCTATTTTCCTCAGCACTATGGAAAGTTTTACAGTCTGTCAGCTCATTGTTTTGCTTTCATGGCCTGCAACTTTGTTTTTTCACTCTCATGGCATAATTTTCAGTCACAGCCCACTGCAGTGGGTTACCAAGTAACTGGTGAGCATAGTGGAGCTTTTAGCTGCTAAAGAGGGATATTTCCCTCATGGGTTGGTAGAGACCAAGAACAAAGCTAAAGGGAGAGTGAGAATTAGACTTACATTCATCAGGTTGCCAGAAACATGACTCCAAATTATTGCTACTGCTGCTGGATTTTTAAATAGACAGTTGTTTGCAAACACATTTGCTGTGTCAACTTGGTCAATGTGTTTACAGCGTCGTTGTTGCTGTGGCCCAAAAAATCAATCCATGCTGGTTTAAGGGAAAAGTGCTTATTGGCTTGGTTGTCATTCTCATATTTGTCTGTTACATAAATGGCTACAGCCAGTAGCTGGTTAGCTTAGCACAAATACTGAAAGCAAGGTCACCTACCTTTAGCATTTAACTCTCAGTCAGAAAGTGAATTGGTTGGTGAATACAGTTTTATTATTAGTGATATAAATGATGGCCCAAACTGCGAAAGAAAACTGCTCAATACTTGCCTTTGCATTGCTCATACTCTCACAGATTTTAATCAGTATTCTCCCCATGAATTACTACATTGAAATGTCTTAAACTTTGGCTTCCATAACCATGCTCTTTCACTAATTAAGCCTCAGCCACATTTCTGCCAATGAACTCGGCTGCTGAGATACATCGGAGCGGTGCAGTTGCTGTCTGTCTCCTTGTCAAACATCACATGAATTATGCTTTTTAACTTTATTAACGTATGCTCCCAGTGAAGACAGACCAGCTCGTAACAATCAAAAAGGAGCTGTCACAGATTAAGACCAAGATCGACTCACTGCTGGGAAGGCTGGAGAAGATTGAGAGGCAACATCGCTCTGATGCTGGTAAGATTTGACGGAGGGGAGGGGAGGACCTGTCTGCATGCATATAAACATTACATGGGGAAGAGACAGAGTCCTCACTATATGGAAATGAAAGACACACGCAGGGCAAAGTGAACATATTAAGGATTTATAAAGCGGCTTGTCTGAAAGCTAAATTCTTCTATTAGTAGAAATAAAATATCAATTCAATAGATCTATTATGATGTTAACCGCCAGGCTTCCTCTGTTTCTCTCGTTCTGTTTTTGCTAGAGATGCAGAGGAAACAAGAGGAGGTGTGTGAGTGTCTCCATGGTGATGCAGCAGGCCACTCTGGTGGAGAGGAAGCAGAAGGGACAATCGAGGTGGAGGCGGGGGAGATGACGGACGGCGGCGAAGACGACTATGAAGATGAAGGCACCAGCGATATGGTAAGACCGCCAAGTAGCCTTTTACAGTCTCAACAAGAAGCAAGTGGTCTAACTGAGTCCTCCTGTGAGAGGATAATGTGTTCATCAGGATCTTTCTGTGTGTGTGTGTGTGTGTGTGTGTGTGTGTGTGTGTGAAAGTGTTTGTATGAGTCTCTGAGTGTGTTTATTTGCATTAGCTGTAGGCCTACATGTTTTCATTTAACAAGATTAAAGTCATAGGCTGAGGTGTTAAAGGAATAGTCTGACATTTTGGGCAGTTAACTTATTTGCTTTTTTGTAGAGAGTCAGATGAAAAGATTGATATCACTCTCATATCTGCATGGCAAATATGAAGCTATAGTCAGGACCCAGTTAGCTAAGCTTAGCACAAAGACTAGAAAGAGCCAGCCTGGCTCCGCCTAAATCTGACTAAATCTGACTAAATCTGCCGTCCAACTTCTAAAAAGACAACATTAGCAAACTTTAGTAGTGTTTAGTTTTTTGTAATTTCCCCACACACATCTTAGTTCCACTCCATTGTTTTCCCCTTGTCATCCACACCCTCTGGCCTCTAGAAATGAATGGAAGAGCAGGGGAGTCAACAGAATATTAGAATAGTTTCTTAAGATATGAGTGGAAAGTATTGTTTTGCAACTACATTTGACATTTTTTTTACTCAAATATAGCTTAACCTTGCCATGTGATAATCTACTTCAGTACACTTTAAAAACAAATATTACTGGGACCTCTATAGAAAATTGCAGATATTCATGAATTGAAACTATCTGTATAACAATTTGGCCACAATATAACACATTGACCATACACGATCTAGCCAGTTGTGCCCCGTTCCACAATTTTTTATTAATTTCAGTAGACTAGATACACTGTCAACAACTACAGGTGCTGGTCATAAAATTAGAATATCAAAAAGTTGATTTACTTACACTAATTCCATTCAAAAAGTGAAACTTGGATATTATATTCATTCATTACACACAGACTGATATATTTTATGAAGTGTTTATTTAATTGTGATGATTAAAACTGACAACTAATGAATTCAGTATTTCCCGAAAATTAGAATATTACTTAAGACCAATACAAAAAAAGTATTTTTAGAAATATTGGCCAACTGAAAAGTATGAACATGAAAAGTATGAGCATGTACAGCACTCAATACTTAGTCCGGGCTCCTTTTGCCTGAATTACTGCAGCAATGCGACGTGGCATGGAGTCGATCAGTCTGTGGCACTGCTCAGGTGTTATGAGAGCCCAGGTTGCTCTGATAGTGGCCCTCAGCTCTTCTGCATTGTTAGGTTTGGCGTATCGCATCTTCCTCTTCACAATACCCCATAGATTTACTATAGGGTTAAGGTCAGGCGAGTTTGCTGGCCAAATAAGAAAAGGGATACCATGGTCCTTAAACCAGGTACTGGTAGCTTTGGCACTGTGTGCAGGTGCCAAGTCCTGTTGGAAAAAAATAGTTTTTAGCAGCCTTAAAAGCAGTTCTAAAAGACAAATTATTTTATTCTGATTCAATTGGTACTTAATGAAAAAGCCATCCATGTGACATTTTAAACAACAAACTCACTATTTTTATTATTTAACTTAAAATGATTAGGAATTGAAAAAGGACCAGTTAAAGAATGGATGACTATGTCCATCTCACTGATCTCTCTATTGATATCATGACAGATTTTTTTCTTCTTGTAATTGCAGATGGAGAACCACATATCGGACATTGACAACTGAGTAAGGTCAGTATTTAATCTCTGCTTGAAAGGGCATAATTCTTTATTTATATGGGATGTTTCTCTTTCTCTTTCTATGTATACTGAACAAAATTATAAACGCAACACTTTTGTTTTTGCCCCCATACATCGTGAGCTGAACTCAAAGATGTAAGACTTTCTCTATGTACACAAAAGGCCTATTTCTCTCGAATATCGTTCACAAATCTGTCAAAATCTGTGTTAGTGAGCACTTCCCCTTTGCCGAGATAATCCATCCACCTCACAGGTTTTCCTTAGGCTGGTCACAATAAAAGACCACTCAAAAATGTGCAGTTACACTGTGTACTGGGGTAGTTCGGGGGCATCCCTAAACCAGTCAGTATCTGGTGTGACCACCATTTGCCTCACGCAGTGCAACACATCTCCTTTGCATAGAGTTGATCAGGTTATTGATTGTGGCCTGTGGAATGTTTGGTCCACTCCTCTTCAGTGGCTTTGCGAAATTGCAGTCAGGTCGAGAACCCGATGAGGACCACGAGCATGCAGATGAGCTTCCCAAAGACGGTTCCTGACAGTTTGTGCAGAAATTCTTTGGTTATGCAAAGCGATTGTTGCAGCAGCTGTCCAGGTGACTGGTCTCAGACGATCTTGGAGGTGAAGATGCTGGATGTGGAGGTCCTGGGCTGGTGTGGTTACATGTGGTCTGCTGTTGTGAGGCTTGTTGGATGAACTGCCAAATTCTCTGAAACGCCTTTGGAGATGGCCTATGGTAGAGAAATGAGCATTCAATTCACGGGCAACAGCTCTGGTGGACATTCCTGCAGTCAGCATGCACGCTTCCTCACAACTTGCGACGTCTGTGGCATTGTGCTGTGTGATGGAATTGCACATTTTCGGGTGGCATTTTATTGCGACAAGCCTAAGGCACACATGTGCAATACCCGTGCTGTCAGCATCTTGATATGCCACACCTGTGAGGTGGATGTTGACGGATTTGTGAACAATATTTGTGAGTAATAGTAAACACAAAAGTGTTGCATTTATATATCAGTATATATACACTGTATAAAAAGAAAGTGTAGTATCCAATACTTATGCATTTGACTCATAACAGTTCAAAATAGCACTGTAGCAGCAGGACAGAGGGTCAGTGTCCTTCTACGGGGAGAGCAGTGATTGGTGGTTATGTAGGGACTGAACCCTTCTATAGAATTTGACTTCTAACCCCTTGTTTTGTTACCTCAAAATAGTACTATACCCTTCTATGGGTTTGACCTTTTATTTTGCAGACTCAAACCCCTCTGTGGTACCTAACAGATACCTAAACATATCCTATATAAGCAATGTTTGATGTACAGAGAGACAGAGTGGTCATCGGGCTGGGTCACTCTCCAAGCTACTGCAGAGCTTGTAATTGATGCTGAACTCCTTGATTTAATAAACTTTTATGATCAAGAACAGTGTCAAGCGGGTTTCCTCTCAACACATCATTGCAGCATTATTGTTCGGACACCACAAAAGAAATGTAACCGTGTATGGACAACATATGCACAGTACCTGTAAGTAAGCCGAGTGAGAGAGTGAGAAACACTGCTTTTCTAAATGGCCTGTAATTCTCTCCGTCTGGGAGCGTAAGGAAAGGCAGTCTCTCTGCAGTTATCACTGATGACTGTCCGCACTTTCCATCAGACGACATTTAAATCCCTTAATTTTCTTTGTATGAACAAATGGCTAAGAGATTTAATTTGTCTCTTGGCTGACATTTCCTCCCTGCTATCCTCAAGTGCCTGATAACGGAAATCTTTTTCAGCCGCTCTGAAGATGATCGATCGTTAAAATAACAGCATAATGAACCTTTTGTCCTCAGGTGTATATCTCAGAGGTTGCAGGTAATATCAGGAGCATTGCTTTATTTTAACTTTAGTCACAGCCCCCACGCCTCCAGTTTTTTCCACCCACCTCATGAGAAAATCTTACAGATAAAGCTCCTAAAAATGTAGCCAACTTTTACTTACATAAGTGTACTGTTAAAAGACAGTCTGGCAATAATAATGAATGTTCATTGTGGTGTGTCTGCTTTTCTTCAAGTTGGGGGGAAAAGGAAGTCCATAGTGCAAGAAGTTGGGAGAACAGATACCAGCAAAACCTTCTTGATCAAGAGGGTGTATTTGAAATTAAAGGAAAGCAGTGACTGGAGTGACTGACTGCAGAGGGAGAGTTTTTCAGACTTGTTTGTTGCTTGTTTGCCTCATTAGAACATGACACTCCTGATGTGTACTTCATGGAAATGCTGGTTATGAATATTCTCCAGACTACTCCAAGATCAACTGCAGAGGGCAATCAATAATTTCCCTTCAAGCCAATTGCCTCTGACAAAATATGGACAATATATTGTGTGCTTAATATATTATGGTCTGTATTGTGCATAAAAATACGGTTTACGTGATCAGTCAGATGAACCATGAAATGCCCTCCTTTTGTTGTACTGCAAATGTACCTTTTGTTCTGTTTCTGTGAAAACTGTGACGAGCCACGACGCTGGCAGAGAGCTAAATCTGAATGTAAGAGGAACACATTTTCTTTGACACTTGATAATTATGTGATTTGTTTTCTTCGTACATTTTGTTAAAATGTACAGTATGTAATTTATTCACCAACGTCTCCACACAGTAATGTATGCATCTCATGTTCTTCATTTGTTATACATGATAAGATGCATTTTGAATTCTGTTTACATTCTGTTTACGGTAAACAAAAGATGACTATTTTTTACTATCAGCATGTTAAAAATGTGGCTATTATGGATCATTTGTATTCATTGCATCTGTTGTACAGCTATGGATGATAACAGTTTTTTGAAATAAACCCGTTCCTCCCAAATGAAAAATAAAATGCCTGTCTGAGTGCTTTCATTTTCACAAACTGTTTCTATTTCTGTGGGGGTCTTCTGCTCTGTACACAAACTTCATTTTTACTTAGGCTTCCAAAACAACTTCAACAATCTTTTTTATTAACCTTGTATGACATGAGAAATAGCACTGGAAAGTTACTACCTGACTAAACTTAAAGGTAACTTTTTCCTCCGGCCATGCTTGCAACATCACTCTGTCCACCACTTCGTTCCAGATTGAAATATCTTAGCTACTGGATGGATTGTCATGCGATTGTGTTGGACATTGGTCGCCACAGGATGAATCCTGCTGACTTTGGTGATTTTCCACAGATTTTTGGTTTTCATTGAATGTGTCAAACCTTGGATGGATAATAAAGTACTGTATATTTTACTTAAGTATTACGCTGTGTAACACGATTTTTGGTCCTTGGTAGTAAGTGTTCTTTCCTAATTGCTTAAGCCTCAAAAGTAAAGAAAATGGCTATTATTCCCTGCAAATTTTGCTTTTGTGACTAGGACAATGATGTTTTGAAATGTATATTTCCAATGAATCTATCTTTTCGTTCACATAAAGTCAGAAAAAACAACCTATGAATCCAAATAAAGATGTATTTATACTAAAGTAATACAAAAATGACTTCTAAAGACTTAATATATACTTTATCTATAGGCAGTGTTCTATGTAACAGAAGTGAGTAGTTTTTCAAGATCTAGATTATACAGTAAAATCACAGTAAATTCACTAGTAAAGAAAAAGCTTGGAACAGCTTTGTCGCAGTGGTTCAGGGTTTCCTGGGCTATCACAAGGCTGAAAACTCTGTGGAGCTGGTTGAGACTCTGGTGAAGAACTACGGCACAACGGGATGTAGGAAGTCTTTATCCTTGATGCTCATCTTGATAAATTCAAGGAGAACACTCAGTGGAGCAAGGTAAGTGCTTCCACAAGGATATACTAGACTTTGAACACTGCTATCAAGGACCGTATACCAAAAATGTGATGGGAGACATTTGGGTGATGATTCATGAAATCTAGAAAAACTACAAGTCATTTTTGTATTCCTTTAGTATAAATACATGCTAAGTACCAGTCAGGGCTACAATATGAAATAAATACAATATGTGTAATCAGATAAAAGCTTCTTAAAACTATCAAGAGTTCAATCAGTTCTAAATTCTACAGGAAGCCAGTGGAGAGAAGCTAAAACTGGAGTGATGTGTTGTCTCATTCCGTTTTAGATCAAACACTTGCTGCCGCAATTAGTTGAAGCATATTAATATATTTTTTGGGTATACCAGTAAAAAGTGCATTACAATAATCCAATCGTGAAAAAACAAAAGCATGTAACAACTTTTTGGCATCTTCCAAGGCAAGGTGGGGTCTGACTTTGGCAATGTTTCTTAAATAAAAAAATGCGACCTTTAACCAGGACACCCAGGTTTTTGACAACACTCTTTTCCTGCACAGCCAGACATTGCAATCTATTAGAAATAATTTGTTTCTGTGTCTTAGAGCCTACCACAAGAATTTCTGTCTTGTCCTCATTTAGATTTAGAAATTTTTGACTCATCCAGTGCGTAATGGAAGACAGACATTCCACTAAGGGGTTGAGAGCTTTGGGGTTGTCTGGTGCAACAGATAAATATAGCTGTGTGTAGTCTGCATAAAAATGAAAATTCACTCCATGATCACTAATAATTTTTCCAAGTGGTAAAATGTAGACAAAACAGTAAAGGACCAAGAATGAAACCTTGTGGAATACCTGAGAGGATATCGAAATTATCTGAGACATGGTCAGCAAGACTGACAAAATAACTTCTGCCAGTCAGATAGGTATGGAACCATAATAGGGCAGTGCCAGATACCAACCCAGTTCTCAAAACAATCTAAAAGAATATTGTGGTCCACTCTATCAAAGGCAGCTGTCAGATCAAGAAGTACAAGAATGGAAACATTTTTACAATCAGAGCTCACCCTGAGGTCATTGACAACCTTCTGTTTCTGTGCTATGTCCCTTTCTGAAACCAGACTGAAATGTATTGTGTATCTTATTCTCATCTAAAAACATATTTAATTGGAGGAATAAAAGTATAAATAAGTGTATTAATAAATATTATAACATTAATAGAAAGTGTAATGTAAGCTTTATATGTTTACAGGTTATTTGGATAGTCTGCCTACAGATAGTTTATTAGTTGAGATTCAGCTTTTTCACTCAAAACCCATTTTCTGATATTAGCCTACACACTGTGGTTAAGGTTTGATTAGTGCTAATGTTTGTGTATTCATTATAATTTCAGATAATAGTATAGGCTACTATAGCTTACCACTGGTACTCTAAAATATTAATTCCAGCTGGACAAAACGGCAATTTCATTTTTGTGGGTTGTTTTCAGTCAGTAAGTTATTGTGTACTACATGGTGGTTAGTCTCTCATTTGTTTATGCAAATTACTAACATGTCAATAATAAAAACTGTGCACACAGCAAACAACGAGTTCAACATTTCTACCGTTTGCTGTAGTGCTTCAACCTTTTTTTAATGTCCCGCCTCCTCCAGGCTGTGATAGGTTGGTTCGCGAAAACTGACGAGCAACTATGCACACCGCTGCATAAAAGGCTCCCGATCTCTTAGCAGGCAGGAGAGAACGGGAATAGGTGAGGTAGGGCCCAGAAAACCTGTTAAGGGCAGAGAAGATTACAGGTGCCAGTACGCCAAGGAGTAAAATGTAAAAGTAACAGCACGAGCAGTTGATGTTACTGTCGCTTGGGATTGCTACAACTATCACTACTGCTTTCTTCTGTTGTTTGTCGATCAACGCGATGTCTGGTTGGTTAGCCATCACCAGTTTGTCAGACTGGATCCCACAGAACCTTAGCTTGGTCATTCTCAACTACCTTTGATGGTGTCTTCCATTTTGACTTTGGAACTTCCAGCACATACTCCTGGCAAATACAACTATTTGGTTATGGTGTTCCATGTACGCTGTTCCTGCCTACATCTCACACCCTGCTGTTATGTCCTTGCACTGTCTGCACCCGGGTTCATGCCTGGTGTGGTAGACCCCAGCCTCAATTGATCTCATACTGAGTGCCTGTTCTTGTGCCGCCATGATTAGTAATTCTGTGCTGTCCTTTAGTCCAGCCTTTTCTAGCCACTGATAGGGTTTCTTGATATTAGCCACTTCTTCTATCTGCCTTGCAGCGGCTTGTCTCTCTGTGAGGGTTCATCCTCCTCCTTGTCCTCATCCTTGGGTTTCTACTGCCTGATGGTATTCACTTAGTCCTTCATCTTTGGGGGCCATCTTCCTGATGTACTCCTGGATCTTTGTTGTTTCATGCTTGACAGTGGTCTTGAGACTCACTAGCCATTTGCCTCCACTGCTCCGCTTAGTGTACAGTCTCAGGGTGCTGGATTTGGGCTGAACCCCTCCATGCATTGTGAGGATCTTTCTTGTCTTGATGTCAGTGGCCTCTATCTCTTCCGTTGGCCAGTTTATCAGTGAGCCGATGTCAAGCTCATTTCTGGCATACAGCTTGATGTCATCCATGTAGAGGAGGTGACTGATGGTTGTTTCTCTTTGGAACCGGTATCCATAGCCACTCTTTGTGATGATCTTGCTGAGGGGGTTCAGGCCTATGCAGAACAGCAGTGGGGATAGTGCATCACCTTGGTATATGCAGCACTTGATGGTGACTTGTGCAATTGGCTTTGAGTTGGCTTACTTTCTTGTTTTCCACAGCCCAATTAAGTTATTGATGAAGGTTATTAGTGGCTTTTTGATCTTGTACATTTCCAAGCATTCTAGTATCCATGTATGTGGCATTGAGTCGTAGGCTTTCTTGTAGTCAATCCAAGCGGTGCACAGGTTGGTCTGTCTGGTCATGCAGTCTTGAGTGACTGCTCTATCGACCGGTGCTTGGGGCTGGTATTACTGCCCATGTACCTACTCATCTTAGCTGCTATGATGCCTGACAGGTTATTAGCCGGTAGTTGGATGGGATTGTTCACTTCTGGGAATCCTTCATGATCAGGATTCCTTGCACCTTGCACCATATTTTTAAATTAATTTGTATTTTTAATAAAGGTTACATTCTGTACTATATTGAGTCAGTGTAGTGCCATTCTTTTGCCTCTGACACTGGAGACAGGTTAAACAAAGGAGACAGGTTAAACAAAGTTGGTGGCAATGTTATGCTGCCTTAAAATCTTTAACAATAAAAGTTTATTACAACAGTTACAGCTGAAATGATTAGTGTATTTTCAAATATAATCTGATGCTTTTTAATGTGATTATTTTAATAAATTGATTAAACAAGCAGTGTTAAGTTGGCTTATTTTAAAATGTTAGCATGCTGATGTTAGCATTTACCTCAAAGCACTGCTATGTCCACTGTAAGTACATCACAAATATCATTGCTGCAGGCACTTTATCTTGTTACTAACTTTGTATAACATCAGAAATAGAACTGCAAATCTACTGCCTGACTCAAACTAAAGTTCTGTGTTACTTTTGTGTAACTTCCCCTACCACCCTCATTTTCAAAGCAAATAGGAGTAGAAAGGTGAAAATAAAGACACAGAACTATGCTAAATGTTAAAATTTTCTGCTCAGGTTTATTTATAGCATCCCTATACATTAGTTCTGTTCTCTAATTGGCTAAGAGAATATCATCTTTTTTTTTTAGCACAGTGCCCTTGAAAACTACAGCCGATGAGAGATCAGTAGTGGTGAGGCAGATGGCACTTCTAATTCACTCACTTCATTAGCACCAGATCATCATTTTCACAGGTTAAGGAGGGCCACTGGCTGTGTTGCAGGTATAATTGGTTCTATTATCGCTGGCTAGGAGCCAGTGAGTACAATGATCAGTCATGCAGCTCCTCTAATATGGACAATGTTCAGTGTGTGATGAACTAAATCAATCACCAGCATGAAGCTGCTGGAGGAATTATGAGTATAATAGGGGTCAGGATCTTTATAATACATCTGTGATTAGCC